GGGCTTGAAGTGTTAAAATCACCGAGGGAAGTATGAGTCACGGGAGCTTCAGCTTCCACGGACTGTAACAGTGAAGTTTCACTCTCGGGAGCTGGAATTGTAACATTTTCAACTTCAACAGAAGCGGCTCCTTCATTTAAGGGTTCTTCAGTCACGGGAGTTCCATCCGCTGGAGAAGGAAAGTCAAGTGGTTGTTGAGTCATTTCAATGGTTCTTAAAACCTTGGCCAATTCCGATTCTAAATCAAAGTTTTCTTGGCTGGCCTCGGTTAAGGCATCACGGCAGGAGTTTAGAAAGGCCCAGCTCACCTCTGTGTTAAAGTTTTCCTCAAGAAGCTCATCATCCTTTTCCCACGAGGCAAGATCATTTTTTAACATTTGATTTTCAGCCAAAGTGGAGTCAAGGGTAGCTTCAAGGGAGGCACGAGAAGTCTCTAAGGCACGAACCTTATCAGAGGAAATTTGCAAATCAGCCTGAGCCTGAGACAAGTTTTGAACTAGCTCCCCCGCGTACTCTTCTTTCTTGCTCAACAATACCTTAAGTTCTCTAATCTCTTCGCTTGACTTTGATAATTGTTCTGAAAAAGAACATTCAAGACGCTCCTTATCCTTCTCAGCTTTACTAGAAGAAGCCTTGGCCGCCGCTAATTCAGAAGTCAGAATTTGCTTTTGCTGTTCCAGGTCACGATTATTCTCTTGCAATTCTTTTATCTTTTTCTGAGCATTTTTAAACTGCTCTTTCCAATTGGTTGCCTCAAGCTGGGCTTCCTTAGCTATCCTCTCGGCCTCAAGAAAAGTCTGATTAGACTCACGAGCCTTCTTTTCTAAGAGGGAAATTCTTCCCATCAACTCCGTACCAATGAGGTTAGCCTGCAAAAACAATTCATGAAAGTTAGAATTAAAAAGAAAGAATTTATTAAAGAGTAAAGGGAGAGTACCTTCAATGTACAGTGAACTATATCATTCATCAAAGTTAGACAACTGTGACTGTCCATCTTCTTTTTCTCAATATCCCCAATTAAGGGTTCAAGCCAAACATCTGCTCTGCCAGACTTCCTTAAAAGACTGCTATTAGCAGGAACCTCAAGAGTTACACTCCTCATAGCCATGCTTCTGCTACTAGAACCCTCTTCTGCATAATGAGCAGAGGAAGGGGGAACTATAGAAGGAGGGATGGTAGAAGAGGTGAAAATGGTAGTAGTCGAAGGAGTTGAGGCAGGTAAGGGAGCAGAAATTGACAAAAAGGCAGGAACAGACAAAGTAGGTAAGGAAACACTTGAAATTAGAGGAGGAGGAACAGAAAGAACAGGAACGGAAGATGAAAGAGGGATTTCATCTAAAACCGGCCCTAATTCACCACTTTCGAAGCCCTCAATAAAGAGGCGATGAGTGGATTCAGGGGAGTCCCTTGGAATGGTTTCTTCATCGGAGGTAATAGTAACGGGTTCAGAAATACGAGCGGGAGAGATTTCAGTTTCATCCTCAGAAACAATGCGCCTCCTGGTTTTAGGACGAGCTGTCAAAGAGGTATCTTCATCTTTATCAACGTCAGAATCCTCTTCAACCACTTTTCTCTTTGACAGCGTAGCTTGTGTTCTTTCCAAAGCAAGAGGAGTACTGGAAGAAGCTCGAAGGGTGATAGCTACTTCAGCCGACATCTCTCGAATAGCAAATCCTGACAATAAGAAGCATAAAAATTTAAAAGAGGGGAAAAGAATTTAACACACAAGAAGCAAAAAGGGGATGTATACCGTGAGTTTTCACTTTCCAACCATGTTTGTTGGAAATATATTTCCAAGTTCGTGCCTCCATAGGCACGGCTTTCAAGACAGCATCTACCCAACCACGGAAATTAGGAACGGATTCCACATCTCCCATGGTTGCTACAAAAAAGCAAAATAAAATTAGAAGAGAAGTTGAAATAACGAAAGCAGATACGGCAAGGAAGAAAATACTTACGTGCAAAGTTCCATTTCTCAGGAAAAGGAATGTTTGATTCACCCACCAAATCAATTGTGGGAACAGCAACAAACCGGGTGTACCAGCCACGGTCATTATTATCTTCAGGGTTAACCAAAACCCTCTTACTTCTTGCAGTTAAGGTAAAAACACCATTGCGGAATAGTTTGGGGTGATAAAGATGAATTAAATGAGGAAAAGTAAAGTCAACATCAGCTTTGGTTGACATATACCTCTAACAAGCTACTGCTCTCCATACGAGAGGACCAACTTGAGCCAGACAAATTTTGAAAAAACGACAGAAATCAAGAATGACAGGGTCAATAGCAGGAATAAATCCCAAAGTAAAGGGATAAGTGTAAACGAAAGAAAAGCCAACCCTATAAGAAGATATTCTTTGATGTGGAGTAGGAATAACTATTTGGGTGTCACCTCTCCAACGACAATCTCTTCGAACAATCTGAATCAAAGGTTCAGTAATTAAAGAGGGATATTTATCAGCTCTCTCTAATTTAATCACTTGATCACGAAGGGATTCTTTGTCATGTTCGAAGGATAAGTCCGTTGGAACAATTTCTTCAACCAGAGGCTCTTGGTTAGAATCAGAAGTTTCTTTGCTTTAGAAGAAGATTTGTTAGAAAGAGAGCCTCTACAGATATTGCCGGAACTAGAAGAAGGAATGATGGAACCAGAGGTACCACCACGAACCGACCCTGTACCACGAAGCACACCTCCTCTACCTCTTCTATATCTAGCAGGAGCATTGGGAAAACTATCAAGAATTGGGACTCTTTTAGGGTTAGGATTCGAAGACGACATAGTGAGAAGGTATGAACTGAAGAAGAAGTGAACAAGAGTTAATAGCAAGAAATTTGGTAAAAAGCTTGTGAAGAAGAAGACAAAGGAAAAAGGGGGCAAGTTTATATATAAACTCAACCGTCGATAATTAAAAAGTGTAATCATGGAAAGCCTATAATAAAGGCAACTATCACTTCGTGAATAGTGGAGTTAAAAAAGCCTTAGAAAAAGGCTGCAAAATCGCAGAACTAATGAGAAGGTGACACGTATATGGTGCATTAAATAGAAGAGACAATTGAAGCGTCAACACTGTCATAGCATTGATTATGGCAAAAATTCCCTTTTTAATGAAGATCCACTTCCCAAATATTTAATTGATAAATAAATGGAAAGTGGGGGACTATCTGTATTGGGAAAAAACTGAATTTATATTGAAGGTGATGTGGCATGACACGTGGACTGGTCAAATAGTCAAAACATGATGATCAATTGAGAGGCACGAGCGATATCAGATACGAAGAGAAGAGAGTTAAATAGGCACGAGATACTATTCAAATGATACGAGTCTCGTGTCTGTTTAACTTAATTAAAGCCAGGAGGTCAGAAGGAATTGAAGATATGAATCTGATAGCATAAAGGAGTCTAAATTCAGTATTAAATGTCAAATACGTTAGCGAATCAGCATTGAATAGGAATGATTGAGTAATGTTTCATTTAATGTCATTTAATGCTCATAATTGCCTCTTTAAGACTGAGTCATTATACCTTTTCCTAGAAGAATCAACTATAAAAGGAGGAGATCTCAGCATTTGTAAAAGGAGAAAAGATCATTGAGATTACATTGAAATACAAACTTATTTACTGCTTTATTATTTTCCTAAATTCTTTATTCTTTTCGTCTCCTGATTATCAGTAACCCGATTTTTTCTCTTAATTTCTAGTTTTAACTGAAATTCTATTTTTTGGTTAAACAAAGAGATGTTTCAAAATTGAAGAAATCAGGAAATCAGTATAAAGATTAACTTCAATGAATAAAATATTCATAGCCTCTAATGCATTACTAAAGCAACCAACGTAAATATGAGAATACAACTTCAATGAATTATTCCTTCTCTTAAACAAATCTTGACTTCATTTCTGTTGAATAAATATGTATTGTACTCAGCATTTCAAAAGGCATCACCTCTCCATAATAATTAGTCCACTCCAACATTTTCGGTGCATGACATCACCATGATATTAATATAAAATTACCATTATATTAATACATGCACTAGTTCTTAAAACACCAAAATAAAAAACCAATGAACAAGTGCAAAATTTATGAAATTCAAATTCTTCCACATAACTCAAAATACCAAAGAATTTGGAACTTATCTGGACTTAGTTTATTCATTTGGTTTCCTTCTGCCCATTAATTATCAAGACATGTATTTTGGTTCGTTGATTACCATCTACCGATAATGCAGTAGCCTTTGCCTTTTCTAAGACCATACTTACATAATATTTCTCGTAGAACGTTGGTATCAGATTTAACAGCCGCCATTCCTACTCATGATTGATGAAGTTAAACTTCTCTACAATGTAACAGCCTGACCACAATGACCAACAGTTGCACCGTTTTATATCCCAGTACAAAACAATTTCCGCTCCAGTTTTCCTCTTCATCAGCCATTTGCCAAGAACACATAAAGATAACTTAAATTCCTTAAGAATGTTGGTATTACTATGTTCAAAATCAGTAAATCAGAGAAACGGAGAAACATGCATTTAATAAACAAAACAGAAAAATAATTCCGAGCCCACAAGTTGGTTGTGTGTCCTTAAGGAATTTAATCCCCTCACTGTTGCCCAAGGTTTTGGATTAATTCCTTTCAGGATAGAACGAAATAACTATTCTGTAATACTGGCAATCGAAATTACAGAATTTCAGCAAACTCAACAGACGGAGCAAATCACACTTGACACTTATGTATATTTGAAAATAATGCAATAATACAGAAAAGAGAGGGGAGAAATTTCAGATTTTTCAGTGGTGGAAAACGAGGCTAAGCCTCTCTATTTATAAACAATGAAAGGGTGAGATGAAGAGGTGTAAACCAAGAGGTGCCTCTTCTATTTCTCATTCACACCCTTATAAAAGGGTGAGATGAAGAGGTGCAATCCAACAGGTGCCTCTTCTATTTCCCATTCACACTCCTTTATTAAAAAACGTAACACTTGACACAACAAATAACAATTTAGTCAGCAGAATACTATATTTCACATTAACACTAATAAAAAAGCATACAACAAATGTTTATTCAGCACAATAAAATAGTTCACAATAACACTATAGAAAAGCATAGAAGCAACACAATAGCGGGTCAGGCTACAGCCTTAACTCAACTTTATTACATTGTTACACACACAAAAAAACCCCAACTTCTTGGCTATCCTTTATTATTTAATACACATGGATAAATAGAATTGGGGCTTTGATTTCCTCATGATTAATGGCAAGGAGAGTAGCAGTAGCAAGCATATTTTGCCCAGTGATGTTTGTGATCACCCCATTTGTACTTCTTGCAGATACCATATTCAGCTCCAAACCAGTGTTTGCAGTGGTGGCTACATTTGTAAGAGTAGTGGCAAGGCCCATGCCACTTGTGACTTTTCTTCCAGCAGTATTTTGCTTCTTTCGTTTGTATTTGTATGGCTACAAAATCATATAGATAAGAATAAAATAATAATTTTGAAGTTAAATGTGTGCAAATATAAAATAATATCATTCCTGAGCGACCTAATATGCTATTTAGAGATTTTTTGTCAAGTCTACAATTTGGCGATATTTATGGCTGAAGTACACAATACCCCTCAAAGTGGATAGTTTTAAATTTCTATCCTCGCTAGCCCCATGAGTAGAACTTCATATATAGTAAATGTTGCCTCACTTGCCTCATAGGCAACACTTTTAACCTTGAAGTTTTATTCATGGCCGGGCAAGCGGAGGTCCAAATTTCAAGACCACTCAAAACAAATGTCATATGTATGTAATTTTTTGGATATTTATATTGGTTTTGGAACTCAAAAATAATGTGATGATGAGAGATAATAGTAATAACTTTCAAAGGACAAAATAATATTGGAAAACGGCTACATCTTAGCATTCCGTTACCTCTTAGACTAGAGGAAAAGTTGGAACTACATATTTCAACACTTCTAGTTGTTATGAAAAGAAATATTACAATAACTTGGATCATTATGTAATAAATACCAACAATGATGAATATTTTTACATGTAATGCGTGGTGGTTAGTGAAACATAAAGATTGAGATATCCAAGAATTTAAAGTAAATAAATAAAAATATGAAAGCAATAAAAGAAAGAAAAATGAACAGAACAAAATAAGAAAATAATAACTAAATAAGTGAAAAATTAAGGAAAAGGTCAAAGAATTCTGCCATTATATTGATCCAAAATTTTGTCAAGATCCTAATGACAATCCTTTACGTTATCAGTTAGTTCTGGCTTAAATTCTTGACTCACCATTTGCAGCAACAAGGAGGAGGCAAAAGAGGAGAGCAAGAAAAGTTGTGTACTTGGCCATAGCTGTTATTTCTTTTAGATTCTTGTTGAGGAAACAAACAGTTGAAATGGTGGTATTTATAGCATTGGAAACTCATATTGTCAACTTAATTCCCTTTGATTTGTTCAAATATTACGTTGGATCGATGTTGGCGTACTTATAATGGGTATTGAAAGTACACTATCAAGTACAAAGAGTAAGTCATGCACAAGTAACATTTCTTTAATTGAAGACTTTGAATTGATAAAGAGACAAGTATGGAATTGGCACACAAATAAGCATAATCAAAGTAAGAATTTGCAAAAACCTATTTTGACATTCCAAAGGAGATCCCAAAAAAAAAAAAAAAAAAATATAGAGATTTTTTTTTTTCCATTTTCCTAATTAATAGGTAGAGAGTTATCATTATCTATATTGGGAGGAGATAGCAGTTTTAAACTTATAGTCGAGTTGCATGTAAGATAACCTGGACATACCATATTAAAAAAATAATTATAAATAGTATTTCATCAAGTAGATTATATTGTTTGTGAGTGTTCAAAATAAAAATTTGATCTCTTTTTAATAGTTTGAGATGTTCAGAGCTATCGTTGTGGTGTCAGAGCAGGCATATATAGGTCATGCATTTAAGTTTCACCATCAACTAATTGAAAAAGACTTTCAGGTGCTTGATCCATGAAATAAAATCGACTAGCATGTAAAGAGGCGTGTTGAAATATAATTAAATAGATCATAAAATGTATTTTTGCTAACCGTTTAAACTTTTAAATAACATGATAATACGCTCAGAGGAATTTGTCAGTGCATTAACGCAAGACATGTGTCACTGGTAATTTTCAATTGATATATACATTGTAGTATTACATATCAAATGATGTTTCATCGACTCAAGGAGTTCAAGAAGCTTTCTTTGGGTTACGGCAAAATATCAAGTCTAACTCATTGACTATGTCAAAATTAAACTCCTTGTCATTTTAATTTTTTATTTTTACATTAACCGTGTTGATCTTATCCTATTTGCTATTTAATTTGAAATTATGTACCATTTCATTGAAATGGGGATTCAACTGAACCGTCATTTAGATATAGTTAAATGTCATGATAAATTATACAACGTCAAGCTAAGGTTATAACGTTTTCTTTAGAGCATATCAGGTTTTTTTGTTTGTTTGTTTATCCTATAAGTTTACATTCTTTCGTGTCTTAATTAAATATAGATAAGATTTTTCCAGTTGATTTATAATAGTGGTCTGAACAAGACCATATACGCCAGTACAATGCACTACAACAATTAAGAATGCTATCCATATGTCAAACATGCCCATCAATCGAGACATATTGGAGATCTAACACGGTAGAGCGACGAACCCCGAACCGAGTATAGTTTCTTGACCTCGAAAAATGCGGTGTACGGTTATGCACGACGGATAGGGGGCGTAATATTCGCCCTCAACCGGAAATTACGGTGTGAATCCCGTTCAGTATCAATTATAGATCAACAATTATCGAAAGAAGAAGATTTTTACCCTTTTTAGACTTGTACTATGACTAAAATTCTCTTACTATATAAAGGGGAAGCTTTTCTTTAGTCTGATGCATTGTAACACGCAATTCAAAGCAATTAAAATTTATTTTTTTCTTCTAGCTACTGTTCAAGGCGTTACTCACTAGTTCTTTTCTCCACTCACGACCGAGCTTGTACCGAGGGTCCAACCGAGGATGAGTTTCACTATTCAATCTAAGATCGGGATTAGTCATTACATTACAATAGGTTTGATCATTTGTTTTGTCTTTAGTTCATCTATCTGTTATTCCTTTTATTTGTATTGAATTAAGCCACGTATCCTTTACACCGCGTACAAATTTAATTATCACTTATTTTTGGGGTAAACAGTTTGGCCCACCGTGAGGCTATGTATAATAGTGGTGATTTGATATGAATTTTCATAACACACACTATTTTACGCTTGTTCTTAGAAATCTTGAATTGCTGGTCAGCCTAAGAATGTCAAACTCTCAATCTGCTCACTTGAACGTTGACGTAGAGTCAGACCATCACGGCGAAAATAACAATGTAGTGCCCAATAATGATGTACTTCATGCCGATCCCAATGATGCCCCAGTCGTCGCCCCGATTGATGCTAACTCGCAGGTGGCCATCAACATCAATTTGCCAACTGATCCCGAAAATAGTATTCGCAGGGGACCCCGGCCAACGGCTCGAGAATCACCCGAAGGTGAAGGTGACAGTGAGCCTACGATTGATTTTCGAAATGTAACAGGCTCAACAAGCGGCAATAGCACAGCTGCAGAACTGTCACGACCCAAAATCTACCGTCATGATGGTGCCTCTCGTGGAACTAGGCCAGCCTCAACTCAACAACCCAACATAGTAAAATAACTTTAAAATCATGACAGAAGCAATTAACATTAAAGAAATCTTTTTTTTTTGGAAACATATTAAATCCCGAAGTGTAATACAATCCAGCCCAAAATCGGGGTGTCACTGAGTACATAAGCGTCTATTCAGAATACAGTCCACTACAGTGTCTAAAGAAATAACTGAAAATACAACTGATGAAAAAGGAAGAGGGTCAAGGCCTGCGAACGCGGTGCAACTACCTTGATAGTCTCCTAACGCTGAGGCCTCAATCAGCAACCGCCGGGCGTGAATAGAGTCGCCTGGATCTGCACATGAGGTGTAGGGAGTAATGTGAGTACACCAACTTAGTAAGTAATGAGTCCAAACTTTGGACATAAAGGTAGTGACAAACTCAACCAGTGCAGATAAAACAGAAATAACTGTGGAGAAACGTAGGCATGCTTTCAAATTTGTTAAACAGCTCAAACAGTAAAGTAATGTATATATGAACAATATAAAGAATATAACTCTGTTACATCTACATGCCAATGCATATGCTATATGTGTTGCACCACGCGGTCAACCTCAAGTGCTCACTCTCTCAAATGCTCCACCACTCGGGGTACTGTATATGGCCCAGGGAAGATCCTTGCCAGAACATATACATCACTGACTATAAGTCACCCAGTACCGAGGAAGGCCAATCTAGCCCTATGAAGAAGATCTATCTCCAGGTATCAAGTACTTCGGACAAGATCCATGTCAAGGAAAGATCCATCCCTAAATAATATCAATCGCGCTCACTGGGGGTGTGTTACAGACTCCTGTAGGGCTCCTACAGCCGAAGCACTATCATAACATCAATATAACCGCTGCGGCGTGCAGCCCGATCCCATAACTATCACTCATAATCAAGCTCTTGGCCGCACTCAGTCAACAATCTCTTCAGTCTCACCCATAGGCTCACAATATCATAAAACTAACCCGGAACAATGATATGATGTATTAATAAATAACTGAGACAGAGTACAGAATATCAACGAAATCAGTGAGATGAAACACAGATATCAACAAGATAGAGTCACTATACAGTGCCATGTAATCAACCAGGTCACAATTCTCACGGTGCACGCCCGCACGCCCATCACTTGGCATGTGCGTCACCTCAATACTAATCACATAACACATAATTCAGGGTTTCGAACCCTCAGAACCAAGTTTGAAAGCGTTACTTACCTCAAATCGAGCAAATCTCTACTCCGAAATGCCTCTGCCTCTCAAATCGGCCTCCAAACGTCCCGAATCTAGCCACAAGTAATACAATACGATCAATATAGGCTAAAGGAATCAATTCCACAAGAAAAATACCAAATTATAGCCACAAAAAGAAAATCGGTTCAAACCCGGCCCCCAGGCCCACGTCTCGAAATGCGACAAAAGTTACAAAACCCGAAAGCCCATTCACTCACGAGTCTAACCATACCAAATTTACTCAAATTCAATAACAAAATCCCATTCATAACCTCAAAATTCCATATCAAGAATTTTTCCTCTTTTTCCCCAATTTTCCATCCCAAATCACAAATTAAATGGTGGAATTAAAGACAAAATCGTGGAATTTGACAAAAATTAGATAGGAATCACTTACCCCAAACACCCACGGAAGAATCTCTCCAAAAATCTCCTTCTACCGAGCTCCCAATTCAACTTTGTTATATGAACTCAAAACCCTCGTTTTTGAATCATTTATTCTGCCCAGGTATGCCTCCTTCGCGAACGCGGAAGCACCTCGCCTTCGCGAAGCACAAATTGCCACTGACTAGAAATCCCTATACACGAATGCGATCAACCACTTGCGAACGCGAACCTCTACTGCCCCTCTCATCGCGAACGCGACCTCCCCCTTCGCGAATGCGTAGACAAACGAATGGGGTCCCCAGTTGCCTCTTCTCTTCTTTGCGAACGCGACACCACTCACGAGTTCGCGATGCACACACTACCCTACCCTTCGCGTTCGCGGCCTCTCCTTCGTGAACGTGTAAAACAAAATTCACCAACTCAGAAAACACTCTTCGCAAACGTGAGGCTCCTCTCGCGAATGCGTAAGAGGAAACCAGAACAAAAATACAGCAGCACATCAGCTAACTCACTAATGCCAAAAATGATCCGTTAACCACCCGAAACTCACCCGAGGCCCTCGAGACCTCAACCAAACATGCCAACACATCCCATAACATCATATAAACTTAGCCGAATCTTCAAATCACCTCCAACAACATTAAAAACATGAATTAACACAGATTCAAGCCTAATGAACTTCGAAATTTTCGAATTCTACAAATGACGTCAAAACCTATCAAATCAAGTCTGATTTACCTCAAATTTTGCACAAAAGCCCTAATTGACACCATGGACCTAGTCCAACTTCCGGAAATCCAATCCGACCCCATATCAAAAAGTCCACTCCCGGTCAAACTTTCCAAATTTCGAACTTTCGGAATTTCAAGCCTAATTCTACTACAGACCTCCAAAACACAATCCGGATGCGCTCCTAAGTCCAAAGTCACCTAACAGAGCTAATGGAACTATCAAAATTCAATTCCGAGATCGTTTACACATAAGACAACATCCGGTAAACATTTCCAACTTAACTTCCAATTAAGAGACTAAGTGTCTCAGTTAA